ATATGTATTATGCATCCAGCCTTGCTTTCACAAGTGTTTTGCTTATTCTGTTCCTAACAGTCTCACCACTATTCAAAAACTACTTCCTTACCTACCATCGACAGTAAGGATTTCTGTGTTTCATTTCTCCTGTTTGTTTTCTTGTCTTCTGCTACAGAACAAAATGTTCTCAAGAAAACTAATAATAGATGAGGCTCCTATCTTATTAATTTTATCAGCCCTATGAGAAATGAGAATGGCTTCTTGGGACTGGCAAATGCCCAGGCTTATCTTTAGAAGTACCACACCTCAGATAAAGCACATTGTGTTCCTTTTGTTTTTTCTCCCCCGCACTTCTGTGTTAGAGAAATCAGGAGAATATTTCTCTAATGACAGAAAATTTAGGGAATAAAATCCAGCCACCTAAATTTGAGTCTTGTCTCTGCCCTTTTATTAAAAGTATGACCCCACTAATAAGTTATCCTACCATCTGCGCCTATCTCTAAAATGAAAATAATAGCTGGAAAAGTTATAGAGAGTAATATTTTATAATAAATTCAGGGAGTTAAAATTAGCATATAGTAAGTATTCAACAGATATTACCCAGAAAGGGTAGAATTTATTACTTTGCTAGAGAAACAACATAAACTTATAGAGCAAGTCATATAGTATATATGGTATAAAATCATCCCCCCTTCTTGTAGTTGCAAATAGGAGGTGGTACTTCAGTTTTCTCAGGTGTAGGAAAGAACAGCAATTCTTTCACCAAGGGAAAAAAGACTTGCTTGCTAGGTACTAGAAGATTTCAGGAAACTTTTATATTCTCTAATTACATTGATACAGAATTTTTCAATAAAAATTCTAGGTAGAAGATCAAACTTATGTGCATATCCCCGACACTGCATATCATTGGTAGTAATTTATTCTTGAACTGGTTGTGACATTATAGAAGAAACAGGTGGGTAGGTCATTGTGTCCTGGAAGTGTTGGATGAAGAAACAGGCCATTTAATTTCCCGGTCCTTCACTAGGCTTTCTTGTAAATTAATTTTTCCATTTTTCACTGCCTTCAATATCTTCTTCAAAAAATATATTCCATACTTACTTACCAAGACTGTAAAACAATAACCAAAGTGTTTAAACAGCAGATGTTTACTGTCTCATAGCTTTGGAGAATAGGTATCTAAGAACAAGCTGTCTCAGGACAGGAATTGCCTGTAAGCTCTGAGGAAGACTCTGTTCTATGGTTTGATGGCAGTGTTGGATAGTCCTTGGGACTGTTTGCTACTCATTGGATTGCAGAAGCATTCCGTAGATTTTTACCCTTCTTTTCATGAAGTGGTATTCTTGTGTGCCTCTGTCTCCAGATCTCTATTTGTATGAAAGATAACATATTGACGCACGCGCCTGATTGCGCTGTGACCTCCTCTTAACCAGTGATGTCTGCAGTAACACTGTTTCCAATAAACCCACATTCTGACGTAAATGGGGGTGGGGGTGAAGACTCCAGCAGGTGAATATGGAGGGAATTTGTCAACATATAGCAGCTCCTACTTTATATATGATTCCTCTGTGCAGACAACTGTGTCCTGAGAGTCACACAGGAGAGATTATAGTTTTAGAGAACCCAGAGCCATTTGCCTAGTGGTTCTAACCTCACTCCCTGCACTGGCCTCAGTCTTTCTCACTCCCCATCCTTCCTCCACCCTGTCCCTCCTTTCTTTGCTGAGGCTTCCCCACAAACATTAGTTTCCCTGAACCCTGTTACCTAATGAGCCCGTTATAGTTCCCTCTTTCCTCTCCTGATGAGTCTCCCTTCATATCCTCTCTTCCCATTCACTTCTGAGCCCCATTATTACAGGACAGATACTTAAAAGGAGATGGTTTGATAGCCTGCGTGTTTATGCAGCTTGCTCCTCTGTGGCTACTGATTTATGTGTAATTTTTCCCTGATGAAGTTCATTCTTCCCTTGGCTTCTATGATGCT